ATAATGGGCAACTCCTAAATGAATGAATGCAAATTAAATAAATAAATTTACTACATACATAAAAATTGGGATAAAATCAATCATAAAATATAATAAGCAAGTAATAAAAGTAAATTAATATGCATATAACAAATTTAAATAAAATAAATAAATAAATAAAATATGTATATAATAAATGCATTTATTTTATTTGCATAAGCATTAATATTTATTATAAGAAATAAGACAATAATCTTCTTTATTCACAAAAAAATAAAAATTTCACAAAACAAATTATAGAGAGCTAATATTTACCCTCTCATATGTCTTCAACGAGAGCATCATAAACCAAATATAGTTAATGTTTTCTTTGATCCCGCCCATGCGGAGGCTGCGGACGGCTCCAATTGATAATAAAATCATTTTCTGTAACAAATCTGATAAAAAGTGACAAAAATGACATAGTCACATGCGGAAGTGAGTTTTCCGAACAACCTGAAAGTGCATTCCATTTACTTTCTGAATGAATACTAGAATTTAGCTGCATACAACTTTATTTCCTAACGTAATACGATGTTTTTTTTCCAAATTATCAAGTTCTTAAGTGCTCCATTCACAAAACTATTTACCCATAATATTGCCACTGATCAACATCATGATAATGATGATGATGATGATGATGAGCATCATGATGCAACTCAACTTGGCAAACTCTGAGCGCCCCCGAGAAAATATATATAATTATTTTTTTCAGGTTTTCAAGCGTATTCATGTAGTGTGATGTAGTGTGCCTCAGACTGTCGCTGTGAGTGTGACTCTGCGTCCGAGTCCGACTTGGAATCGCGCTCAGACTTGGATTCGGACTCTACTTACATGCTTAAAAGTTGTTGTTATATTTGATTAGGTCAATGGAATCCAATTGGCGTAGTCCGCGTTGCAGTTTCGCTTCTCGTTCATTCCCAAAAATTTGGGTCACTTGGTTAATTGACAAAGATTGACGTATTGTTATTCTACGTGCCCACAAATTTGTTTACACTCACATAAATAGGTTTTTGCATACAATGAGGAAATACAACTGGAAAATAACTGAAACTCAAAATGCAACTGCAGCCACTGAACCCACTTTGGCGATCTGAACAGAGTGAAAGGCCTCAAGGCCTTGAATTTTTAGCCATGGCTTAAAGACGCCGCATTTTGGCTCATTACATACATTTTTTTTTCTTTTTGGCAATTAATGAGCTCATAAAGTTTTAAAAGAGTGTGAAACTTTGTATGTTTAACTTTTTACCATTTACGAGGTTACATTGAAGCTGTGATAAATACGAAATTGTAATTGTTGATTACCTAAAATTAACAATTCGTTATCACACTTTTACACAAAACGGAAGAAGTAACCGCAATTATTCAAAGGCTGAAAATAGCTTTTATATATGCTCATATGCCTATTCATGGGCATTTTAAAATTACTCGACGGTGTAAAATAATTAGGGTATTCCCTCGTTTTTGTTTATTGTTTTAAATGTTTATAAACTACTTGACAGCTCTGTGTTTCTGCTGAGACTCGTAAAAATTTTGAAGTCATTTTTGTATTTCCTTATTATTATTATTTTTTTATACTTTTCCTATTTGATTTTGAAGCATTTGATGCTCCTGCTAAAGTTATCAGCTACTTTAAAGTGTGGTTAAACTCCAATGTTCCTGCTTAAGTTTATCAGCTACTTTAAAATATATTCAAATTTGTTTCGTACTTAAACGTGACGAAAATAACATCAAATTTTATTATATATTATAATTTTGGATGGTGCATTACATCAACTTCGCTTATTGAATTATAAAATATGCCCAGTTGGAATGCAGACTCCCCAGGCCGGATGATGTTCACGTAATTGATGAATTGGCGAATAAAGGGCACAGAAGGCACTTGGGGAAAATGTTGCCTCGAGTGGCAATATCAAGTCCAAAACTTACATAATCATTGTGGCGCATCAAGCAGCCAGGCGCTGCACTGCCGGTTATCCAATTAAAACCAAAGATCAGGGATAGTTTGGCTGCAAACATATGTGGGCCGTCTACAAATCCAAGTTGTACGCACCAAAGCGGCGCAGCACGCGACATCTAGGAAATGAGAGCCGTCTGTTGGTCACATGGCGACAACTTTTAACCAGCCAGACCGATATATAACTGTATAGATATATATATGTGTATATGTATGTAGCCGAATGACAAGTGTTGCTGGACCAAGTCAGCTGACTAGTTGTCCAGTGAAAAGCGGTCATTTGGGTTTTTAGGCGTGTTCCAGCCAGGCTATTGGCGAGGGAGCAGCAGGTATTGGAGCCTGGTGGATGGGGGTGGGGAGGGGAGGGGGGTACATGCGTTCATATGCGTGACAGGCGGAAACTTGTAATATCATATGCACGCCACAATTATGTAATGATTAACGAGCAGGTGAAATACATTCGCCTCGCGATCTCGTTACGCATCCAACTTTATCAAGTGCCCAACATTGCTCTACTCCCAATTCAGGTGCCCGCCGTATCGCCTGATCTGCCTAGCGATCGTGCTAATTGCTCTGGCCGAGGCACGTCCGCAGCACAATTTGCAGCACATTGCCGTGCTGGAGAATGCCGCCTGGGAGCAAACGTTGCCGCAACAACTGCAGAATCCCTTCTACAGGACACCACGCGTCAGGGAGGCCCTAGCCAGATCCAGCTGGTTTGGTCCCGGCGAGGAGGTGGTAAGTCTGAGCCCCTTATTACTATCGTATATTATAATATATAATAATATCGTATATGTATCTCTATGTTAAATGTTTTCTCAGGTTCTTGAACGCCAGGCGGAAAAAATACCGCGCATGGAAATCTATAATGTGCTCTCCCACGCAGGTCTCATACCACGTCGCAAATATTTCTAAACATTTTTCGATTTACATTTTGTTATATTTTATATAAAATATCAGAATCTATTAAAGCTATAGTCATTAATTTAGGTAAAAGAAACAATTGTTTTATTTCTAGCAAAAATAGCTGACGATCTAATAATTTTAAAACGAGTTATTGTTTCCCCGGGTTCGAACCAAAACTAGTTTGATCAATTATAACATAAATGGGTTCCATATAAGATTACAAATTTAAATATCTGAAGTATACTCGAAGGCATATATAAGCATATATTATACATATTTGATAACTGAAATATTTATATAGAAGGAAACATAAAAACGCTTTCCTCACATTGCATAGAAGATTTGCTGAAAACCGTAACATAATCTATCATATCATACATATATATCATAGATTCCACATTTAAAAGACATTTGCTTGTAAAAATAACTGCATTTAGTTTATATATTATAGAACTGTTACGCATAATAATAGGTCTCGTTTGTATACAAAAAAGTCACAAAATTTGTTACAACAACTAGTATATACGTAAGCACCTACAATAGCTGTACCGTGTAAGGGATCGATTGGTCTCTCTCTCTGTGCGAAGTATGCAATGATTCTACATTTAAAATTCCAGTTGTACGTCGAGCTGTGCAACGCGCTGCAGTCGCGCATCCAACAACAACTGGCTATCTTCCTGCTGGGTGCTCACTTCCTCCAGTGCTGTGTTATGCGCCAGCAACGTTTTGCGCACCTCCTCATTCTGCTGTTCCCCCTTCTGCGTCGGCTCCTGCTCATCCTCGTCTTCTTCCTCTGCATCGCTGCCTGCGTTCAAAAGCCCATTGCCATTTAATTTGCCATTGCTGAGCGTCTCTTCCGCAGCTGCGTTATGTCTAACTGTGCTCTCGGCAGGCGTTAGCAGCGATTTGATGAATTCGCCGCAAATCAGGCTCATGGCAGGCATCGTATGGGCGGACAAGTTGACCAACTGAAATGAATTCGAGAGAGCATTAATTGGCGTTGACCTTGTCAAAGTTCCACAAAAAAAAAACTATGTTAGTTGGATTTAAATTTCTTATTGTTGTTGTTACGATTACTTGTCAATTTATTTATTTTATTTTTTTTTTGGGTGCCAGTTCAGATTATGGTTCAAGTTCAGCGCTCAAAATTCATAATCTCATGCTCTAATACGACTTATTTCGGGCTGTTGTTGTTTTTGGCATTGGCTTATGAGTTTGTCATTGCCGTCCGTTTGTCTGTCAAAGTGTCTGCGATCTGGTAACCTTCGCGCATGCGTCTTGCCCAATTATTTACTTAATTATAATTTGCATGTGTTCTTTTGCAGACGCATTACTCAGTTGCATTTTCAACTGAATTATTAATTAAAAAAATATTTCAGCAGGAAGCAGCGTCCAAATGAATCCAAACTGAGTCAGAGCCGCTGAAAAATACTCAATTTACACTCGTAAATTGCAACTTGACGAAACCAACTTAATCTAGTTGAAGGCTGACTCAAATAATATAGCCAAAAATATGTACATAGCCTATGTATATGCACGAATGTAACTACATTATATATAATGTAATTAAGGCAATAAGCGACAAGTGCTCGCATTATAATTATTACAATGGGTCAACCCACGCGGGCCCCAGGGGAAATTACACTCGCCGAGAGCTCAATCATAAAGTAGCCACAACAAATGCTCGTAGCTATATATTTATTAAACAGCATAATGAGCTTAGAAAGAGCGAAGCACGCAATAACAACAAACAGCAGCTCCGCATAAACAAAACAAATTGAACAACAAAAGAGCCAAGGAGTGAGTGGCGTGTATTGAGTGATGTGAGAGCGAAACTGTGAGCGAAAGCTCCATTGGAGTGGGTGTGCTTGCACTGGCAACTGCAGTAAATGCAGCGCCCATGTATGTGTGGGAGTGCGATAAATGGAGCGTCAGAGCGAGAGAGAGGGCACGCGCACACAACAATAACAAACCGAACTTTATGTGGAAAGCTTCGTGTGTTAGAATTATGAGAGAGCGGCACGCACGAAGCTGCTGCTTCTGCTGCTGGCGCCGCTGTAGCAGCAGTGCGGCGTATAAATTGCATTGAGCGCCAACAGCCGTTCAACATTGTGCCGTTGTATTTTGCACAAACAACAACAGCAGTAGCAGCAGCGCAAAGCCGGAGAGAGCGTAACTGAAGCAGTCAGGCAAACGGAAGCGCGTGCCGCAAAGTTTACGGAAATATAATAACACAAAAAAAAAGTTCACGGCACATAAACGCCACTTGACCCGTCGCTGACAATAAACCGTTCAATTATTATTAAACAATTGAGGCAAATCAAAAAGAAGAAGAATAAAAAGTGCACTGAAGTGAAGTCCAAAAATACAGAAATGTGGCCCAACTTTGTTGCCGTCATTTCGCTGTTCTGCCTTGCATTGTTCTGTGCCTGGGCGCAAGCTGGACCCGTGCCAATTGTGAATGAGGTGAGTTTCGGGGCGTGCGGCGAAATGTGGAGTGTGAAGACAAGGAAGTGCAAGAAGTTACGAGCTAAGGAATTTTCTTTTTGTTACAAAGAGATTTTACTGTATTCCGGGGTATTAACCCACAAAGGGTAGTCAATTTGTAAAATTACGACAATGTTGATTGCCAGTGCAGTTGTTAATTAAAAGATTACTTTCTAATTAACAAACAATAAAGCCGTGAACACGACTTGGGCGGCTGTTAATCAGCACGACTATTTATAGAGCTTAACTGTTTATATGATCAGAATATTCCACTTATTTATATAATATGCGGAGTGACTTTCCTTATCAATGTCTCTGCGAAGAACTCGAGGTGTTTTCAAAAATTTCAAAAATAACAAAGTGATTAATTCATAGCCCTTAATGATCTTTGACCACAGCACAAGTTAGCTAAAAGTCAAGAAACCTTGCAAACCTCTCCACAACTATCCAAACTAGACCTATACCAACCCGATAAATTGTATGATAATCTAGTTGCCATGCTGGTAGGGCAGATTTTTCCAGCCAAGCTTTAAATAAGATCCAATTGAAAGGCATCCAGAAATAAACTGTTGCGCCTTTCTGACTTTAAGAGAATGGCGTTATTATTATGAATTGAAATTATTCAAATTGAGTTGAAAATAGCAAAAAAGCCACTTGGCTTGCACAACAAAACTGAACAATCACCAGATATGATAAAAAGCTTATCCCAGAAAAGGTAGATCCTAACCTAAAATGATTCACTTGATCGTATTCCAAGAAAACCATATTTATGCAGGAGTTGAAATGTTGGGTAATTTATGTTTACCATCAAGGAAATATTTAATTATCAAAACAATGGAAACATAATATTGGAACTTGATATAAAGACTTTCGGAAGCAGGTTAGATCCTAGTTTTATTTATTTAAAGGGTCTCTTTTGATAACTTTCCCACATGAAAATCTTTCTATATATTTTATATATTTTTTCCCTAGCATCAACAGCTAATGCCCAAGGTGCCCCAATGGCATTGTTTGCGCTACTTTAAGCACGATGTGCTGATGATGAGGCGCTGTCGGCATTTGCGTGTTCCTACGGCGCCACGACTTGGGGATGGGCCTATACGCAAGAGGAAGAAATAGAAATTGTGGCTATCCGGCAATGAATTAAGCCAACAACAACAACAACAACTGCACACGACTGAGCAACAAGACGAATTACAATTAAAAATAGAATTCCAACAGGATTTATAGCGAGACCAAAGCAAAATCAAAAAACAAAAAAACCAATATATAAATATATATATATGTATCTTTAATCTAAACTTAAGACAGTCTAACCACTTGTACTTCATAGCACGTAAGGTTTCAATAAAAAGACAACAAAAAATAAAAATAAATAAGCCAAGAAAAGAAACATATCAAATCTAGCACACAAATTGTTTACGTTTTTTCCTCAAGTTTTCATTATATCAAAATTAAAGTAGTTCGACCAATAGAAAATAAAGCTTCAAGTGCTCCTAAAAATGTTGAATACTGACAAGGAATATGCGGAAGTGAAACCAAATAAAACTATATAAGATCGACAATCTGGAATCTGAACTGTGCTGTTCTATTGAAAGTAATGAACGGAAATGAAACACAATCAGATTTTGGATGGGATTCAGATTTGTACACAGTCAATAAAAAGAGAATCGACCTTGTTTTAAATTCTTTTTAAAACACGACTGATAAGAAGGGTCAAGTGGAAATGGAACATTTTGTCATAAATAATACAACAAATTAATTGTAGTATTACATAGACTAGATTTATAATTTAACAATTCTAAAAGCTTTTTCTTTTTAAAACGCGATTGATAACAAGTTAGGAACAAATGGAAGTGGAACTGATTGTTGTTGCCTGAGGTGTTACATATCCCAGATTTACAAAGGCCGTAAGAAAAGTAAAAAGGAACGAGCGAATGAAACATTGTCGCAATTGACTTCATGTAAGATTGTCTGTTAAAAAACTATCTATTAGGACAAATTGTAAACAATTGAGAATATAAAACCTAATCTATTGTTCAATTTCATAACATTTCAAACGAAATTTAAATTTTTGATACAGTGGAAAATGTTAGAATTACAAAATTTTAAGCATTTTATCCTCTAACATACTTTTATGCGTGGACTTTTGAAGGGATTGTTTTGTTTTGGTGAAAGGGAAAGTTTAGAAAATTTTCAGTTCTCCAGGATTATACATTTTGAAATGTCAGTTTTAAGGCCAGTTCAAATATTTCAATTAGGCTAGTACAATAAGCTATAGGCTTGTCGATTTTTTATGCCCTCGATGATTTGCGTTGTCTCTGAAAACTTACCGCATTCACTGAACTATGGGCGCTACGCCCCACAATCAGTGGGCCGTTGTTCTGTGCAATTTCTGCGATGTCGCTGGACTTTTGTTTGGCCACAAAGCTGCCGAAGGTGGCGAATTGCATCAGCTGATCCGTAACTGGCGGCTGGGCAAAGGAAATGGGCGCAGGCGCATCATCCATTGTGCTGTGTCCCGGCGCGGCCAGGTAGACAATCTCTTTGTCGTGGGTGAGCATGTGCAGCGTGGACTGCGCCTGCCAGTCCACATTGATGGAGCTCTGTTTGGGTTGGCGACGCGGCAGCCAGACCAAACCGTGCATCTTGGGCAAATTGCTGCGTTGATAGACGGGCAGCGGCACATTTGGCTGGAAGACGTGCACTAGATACAGGGAACAAGGCCATGGCATTAATAAAGGAATTCCCAACCGGCTGCAGCTACTCACGTTCATCGTTGCGTGTGATGGCAGCTATCAGATTGGTGAGCGGATCAAAGGCCAGTTGCTGCACAGACAGCTTGAGGCCCGCCTGGAGACGCAGCGTCATTAGGTTCCAGATGAGCACACGCGTCTCGGTACAGACGGCCACCAGGTGGGCCTGCGCACCAGCGCCGAATTGCACATGCGATATTTGGGCAACACTCTGGAGCGGCGCTACCTTGGCCAGTTTCTTGCCGGGCTGTGTTGACCGCCGTTTGCGCTTGGCCGACGTCGGTGCTGCCGCTTTTGTGGTCTCGTCCAGATGCAGCACGCTGAAGAGCGGCAACAGCTCCTGCCGCACCAGCTGTTCGTAGTTTTTTCGCCGGCTACTTAGCCGTGTCAGACGCTGTTTCGCCTTGAAGCGTTGACGAGGATGCAGGCGATGCAAGCGCGTCTCAAGCGTTCGCAAACGCAGCTGCACCGCAATGGGATCCACCAGGCAGTTCTTCAGATAGGCCTTGAGCCGCTGCTGGCAGGCCTCGTGCACGGTGCACTCAATGCCAAAGCGACGCAGCAGCTGCAGCTTCTGATGCAGTCCCAGCTCGGACATTTGCATGATGTGCTTGTACACGGACTCCTTCGCAGCTTCCTGGGGCGTCAGCTCGTCGCTGGACTTGCACTGACTGCTCGGCGCACTGGCCATCAGTTGACGCGCCTGCTGCACCAGCGTCTGGTCGTCGCTGTCGAGTAGCGTTTGCAGCAGACTCCAAAGCTTTTGGCGCTGTTGCGTCACCTCCGTGCGTGTGCCATTCACTGGCATCTGGGCCAGACGCAGCTGTGCCTTGGCCACGACGCCATCGTAGCCAGCGGATGTGCTCAGCGCATGCAGCAGTCGCAGAGTACGTGCGTCGTACAGCACCATCGTGCTGCCGTAGCCCGCAGCCAGCAGTGAGCCATCCTGGGAGAAGCATATGGAGCCGAGTGGCTGTCGCTTGTAGCTCGCCTGCGCCGCACAGCTCCACATGCTGCCACGCTTGTAAATGTTCTCCGAATCACCCAGCGTCCACAGCTTGAGCACATTGTCCTTGCCAGCGCTTGCACAACGCAAATTGTCCACCTGAAACTGATTGGAGAAGATGATCGCCTGGAAGCCGTGCTCATGTGGCAGCTCAATGTTCGTGTTTAGTTTGTAGCTGCAAAGGGAGAAAACAAAAAGTGAGATCTGAATAAAAAATGCAAGAATTAAATATCCTAGCCAAGGCAATCTTTCACTATTAATGCGTTCAATCTATTAAAATGCCTCGGCAATTAAAACATGATCTTATGAAAGCATAAAGTGTAAATAAGACTTAACAAGACATGCAGGCATCAGGCATTTACGTTTGAAAGCTTAAAAGTTACTTTAAGGAAATGGATATAATATAAATTCAATTAATCAGAATTAAAGTGGATTTCAATATTGTGCCTATTAGAAAACATTTTGGTGTATGTTTAATAAGTGCTTAAACATATTCCACCTACATATGTTTTGAGACTGATTTAGCTAGTTTAGAAATAATTGCCTTAAAGCCAGTATTTTATAACATTAACGTATTATCATTTAAATCGACCGCAACAAAAGATTGGGTTGCTCACCTTTGTAATCGCTCCTGATATTGCCAAAATTTGAGACGCAACTCGGCAAAGTTGCGCTGATCGTTGTACACCTCGCCCGTGACCATCCAATCAATGTTGAACGCGGCGCATGTGACACACGTATTGTAAATGATCCGCTGCGGCTCCTGGGAGTTCACATTGTTCTCCACCACACGCAGCTGCGTTAAGAGCAAAGGCAAAATTAGCCAAAATCAGATTAATCAAGAGAAGTAAACATACATTATAAAGCAAACTCTTCGTATAGGCCGAGTAGAACTGCAAATTGCCAATGCGCCCATTGAGCACCAGCGTGTTTGTGCGCGGATTGAGGCAAAGGCCAATGGGAAATAAGCTCTTGCCCGTCTTGTCGGGCAGCGCATAGGTGAAATGTTGTAGCGTTGACTTGAGCCTCACATCGCTGGGGCTCACAAATTGCAGAGCATTGTCGTCGGTGCAGGCGAGCACATGCTCATTCCCATCGCTGATCACAATGTGCCTTATAATGCTGGGCATGCGCGGCAGAAAATGTCGTTCGTCCTGATTGGCCAGCGTCCATTTGACCAGCACCGCCTCATGGCCAGCGCTGTAAAAACTGACGCCCGTGGGCGTAAACGCAATGCTGGTCACGGCCGTACTATGCCAATGATGTTCCGTGCAGAGCACACGTTCCTGATGGCCAAACTGACGCCAGATGATGACCCGACCCGATTCGTCGCCAGTGGCGCCCATTTCCTCGCAGGGACTCAAACGCACACATGTTATGGGCGAAGTGTGTGTGTTCTTAAACCGCATAAACTTCCAATTCACATAGTTGAGAAAGTAAACATAGACGCCTTGTGACAGTATTATGTACTTGAAGGCGCCCTTGCTCACATCCACCAAGGGGGCGCGAACTCTGCAAAAATAGATATGCAACAGGTTGACAAATATTAAAACAAGTGAATAACTAGAATTCGGCACCCCAAAATTTTCTTATTTCTAACTGAAGGTTTTTAAAGGAACCATTTGATGTTCGGATGAGGATAGGGCTTTACTTGCTGAGCTTGGTTAAGATACATGACAAAAAATTGTTCTTTGAACAAAAATACATTTTTCGACAAATTATGAAAATAAGATTTTGCTTATTATATTATTTAAATCCTTAAATGGTGATTGTGGTTGAAATGTCTCTATGATAGCTAAGAAAGAAATTCAATAGTGATTCAGAGAGAAATCAAATGAAGTGTTCGTTTACAAATAAATATATCTAATGTAATTTGCTGAATATAGTCAAAAGATATAGAATTTAATTTGGGTTATATACTATAAGAGTTTTAAAAAAAGGTTAAGACTAAAAACCAGTTGACAAACAGTTTCAAAATGTTTTATGGGAAGTTGAATGGGAAAGAATATTTAAATTATTTTGCAATGATTGAAAGTTTGTTCAGATCAGTTCAATAAGGTTCTTCGAAAATAAACAAATTTGAATATGATTGGAAACGTGTCTCAAAAATTGGCTATGATTATATATCTGGGAGCTACGTAAGCTATATGTTATATGAGCAGTAAGAAAGTATTTTGATGCTGTGATTCAATTCGTCAGTGGAATGGAGCTCAGCATTTTGAACAGAGTGCGAATCCCAAGGTAGTGTATGGATGTGGGATTGTCTTAGTCGAAGTCTATTGCAGACATTGCCATTTAATAAGGTGAAGTTGACAGTTTGTGTCTTATGATAATAATAACTAAAAGTAAGTAACAGATTTAAAACTAACACACAACCAAAAATCTTATAAAAATCTCGAACTAAACGACTACTTACTTTAATCTGAGTCCACAATTAATGTCGATGACAGTGCCTGTGCTTGTGTTGACCACGTACCAGCTGATCTGTTCCCCGCTCTTCCGCTTGACCGTGACAAAGGCGCACGCGGTGTCGCCCTCCTTGTACAAATTAAGCAGATTGCACGTGAGGATTTGCAGTCCTTCGGCGGCGCCCAGCTGCAACTTAATGTTCTTTTGCAGC